CAATCTACCTTCAAACAATATTATGCCACTTGATATAACATAAAAACTTTCACTTCCCCTACTGTGTTTATACATTTTACTTTTACATGTTTTAAACCTCACAGCACATTACTGTTTGTTTTAAATTATCTTAAAAGTAGAATTATCTTAATGAAAGAATCAGACCATATAATTCATGTTCGCTGATTTCATGTTCACTGAATTTTTACTACTTTGTGTGCCTACTTTCTCTTTCTGGTATTATTTTCCTTCTTTATGAAAAACTTTCATTAATATTTCTTCTAGTAGTGATTCGCTGGTAACAACTTCTCTGAGCTTTGTCTGAAAAAAATCTTCAACTTTAGTTTGGAAAGATATTCTCCAGTTACAACATTTTAGGTGACAGTTTTTATTTTTGGTTCTTTAAAGATATGCCACTACTTCTGGTTTCCATAGTTTCTGATGAGAAGTCTGTGAAAATTTTCCTCTTTGTTCTCTGTGTATAGCATGACTAGCATGTCTTTTTTTTCTGAACAACATTTCATATTTTCTAGTTATCACTTTTTCTTAAGCAATTTGATTGTGATTTCTCTTGGTATGCTTCTCTTTGTGTTTATTCTTTGGGTTCATTGACCTACTTACATTTATAAGTTTATTGTTTTTGCTAAAATTTCGATTTTAAAATTGCCATTTTGTATTCAGATACTCTTTGTATTTATTCTCTTTCCAGAACTCCAGCTACATATGTTACACTGCTTGATATTGTTCACACATTTTATGCTTTAAAACAATGAGGCTTTGTTGGCATATTTTTTAGTCTTTCTGTGCTTTGTTTTGGATTTTTTTAAGGGGGGGAGTATGTCTTCAAGTTCACTTTTCTTTGATAGCATTTAATCTGCTGTTAATTTCATCTACTGAAATTTCCAGATGTGTGATTTTCAGATATTGTTACTTTCATTTCTAAAAGTACTTTTGGGTACTTACATGAATTCATCAATGTCTCTACTCTGGCTGGTGGGAATTTGAATTATTTCCAGCCTGGGTGAGCTCAGAAATTGTTTGGTTTGCTGCTCCCGAGAAAGTTTTTTTTCATGTTATTTTTCTTTGCTCACTTTCCCCCTACACATGAGCAGATTAATATTTAAAGACTCAAAGAGTCCCTGCACAGATTTCTGGAAATCTTTCTTTGCATAATGCCGTCCTCTCCAGCACTCTGCATCTCCAAATCCAGCTGCCTGAGTCTTGATGGTCTTCCTGAGTACTGTCACTTTCTCTGTTTGGGTTCCCCTTCCTGGTGATTCTCACCAGAAACTGCCCTCTGGTTAAATTCTTACCTCATTTTCCCCTTTCTATTGGCGATTATAGTCCCAGGTTGCTTATTGTCTGATGTCTGCAAACATATATTTTTAATATATTTGCTCTATCTTGAGGTGTTTTTTTGTAAAGGAAAAAAATGTAAACAACAACAACAACAGTGGGGCAAGGTGTATCTCACAGGAGTTTCTCCTTCACAGATAGAAGTTGAAGTTTAGTCGTTTGTCCAAACACAGAAATAATTCATGGCAGAACTGGATCTTAGACACAGATATGACAGAATTTAGAGCCTGTGGCCTTCACTGTTACTAAGATCATGTTCCTCTTCACCATCCCCACCCTCTTTTTAAAAACACACTCTGCAGAGCAGGCAGGTAAAAGTCCTGTCAGTGAAAGGCAAGTTGATTATTCTGCCCACTGGTAATTCCGGTAAAGAGAATTAGTCCAAGACCTTGCCATTGTAGTTGGCTACTTCTCAGGGGTGCCCTGCCAAAGTGAGCTTTCACTATTTTCACTTGTGACTGAAGAATATGTGGGGTGGCTCTTCACTTAATTTGTTCTTTCATTCACTCTATCATTTATTTATCCATTCAAGATTATGGAATAACTACCACATTCCAGACACTAGGCTTTTCTTCATGCTGGGGGACAAGAAGTAACTCCCCACAGGTTCTCTTTTGCTTTCTTCTTCCTCTCCTTATTCATTCTCCAAAAACTTTAAAGTGATTGTGTGGGAAATGCCCATATGATGACATTTAAGAATGTCTCCCTGGACTCTGGTGAGGTCTCTAGTGGTTAGGAGAGAAGTTAGGGTCTCCTTCCTGATTAAGCACCAAAACCCCTAGGAGGAGTCACAGATCGAGCCACTGAACGTGAGCCAGCCCTCAGTGCTTCAGGAGAAATGTATTAAGGGCTAACTGAGAATAAGAATGCATACCAACATGGCTCCTTGGGAAATGGGACTATGAGAAATGGGAAATGAGAAAACAAAGAAATTCTCACAGGAAAGGTGGCAAAGATACACTCTGAAATTTGCCTCAAGTCCATCCTAAAGGAGATCAGTCCTGGGTGTTCTTTGGAGGGACTGATGTTGAACCTGAAACTCCAATACTTTGGCCACCTGATGTGGAGAGCTGACTCATTTGAAAAGACCCTGATGCTGGGAAAGATTGACGGTAGGAGGAGAAGGGGATGACAGAGGATGAGATGGCTGGATAGCATCACCGACTCAANGTTGGATGGCATCACCGACTCAATGGACATGGGTTTGGGTGGACTCTGGGAGTTGGTGATGGACAGGGAGGCCTGGCGTGCTGCGGTTCATGGGGTCACAAAGAGTCGGACATGGCTGAGTGACTGAACTGAACTGAGCCACTTGAGGCAAGCATATGTTTCTTGCTCTTTTCGGTCTGGGTGTCATAATAACAAAGCGAGTAATGTTTTGTAGGTTGCAGAAATGGTTCCCAACATTTTGGTGCCAGGGACTGGTTTCATAGAAGGTAATTTTCCCATGGATCGGAAGGAGTGGGGGATGGTTTCAGTATGATTCAAACACATTACATTTATTGTGCACTTTATTTCTGTTATTATTACATCAGCTCCACCTCAGAGGACCAGGCATTAGATCTTAGAGGTTGGGGACCCCTGGGTTACAAGTTCCCTCCATACTATCTTTTACCTTGAAGCTGCCTCTCAATAGGCCCTGGAGGTAAACATTAATCCCACTGAGAAATGGATGCTTGGAGAAGGGAAGTCATGGACTCAAGTCATTCAGCTGGTAAGTGCATGGCCTGAATCTGAACTCAGGTCATGTAACTCCAGAGACTCCAATCCTAAAATCTGCTCTGTCATCTAGGCATGCAAATTTGCTTGCTATGACCGAATCATCTATCTTCATTACTCGTGCAATCAAATGAGCAACTTGCTTATGTAGCCCCTCCGCAGAGCACCAAGTTCTGTGCCAAAGGTCATCAGGGCTCTTGCATGTCATCCAGATGTTTGTTGCCAAACTTAGGAATGAGTTCTTCCCCTGTGTGGCTGGTTGATTGGAATGGAAGCGAAAAAAAAGTCTGGCCAACAACTGCCCAGGAGACCAAGAAATGACAAACAAAAACATACAAAGATGTTCTCATCTTAAAGCTCTGCACTCCATCTGGGCAACTGCATTGGAAAGAAAGGACTTTTGAGGAGAGGCAGGACTTAAATGATGCTCTATCACTAGGTCTGCCCCAGATGGAAAGCAAAATGTAATGTATTTGCAGGGTGAGGTTGCAGAGCTGATCCTAAGAGAGGCTTAAGCAGGCCTTAAATGAAGGCTACATGGGTTAATGAAATAAATGCATTTGCTGCTTCTCCATGATTTATATTTCTAAGGCTGCACCACATTGTAATTCAATAAGGCTGAAATGGCAAGAATGTCTGGCAGATATTTTGGGAATATGATACTTGGCTCGTTGTGGTGGTTCAATGTCAGTATCTGGAAATGAGTGAGATGCAAAGGGACATCAGAAACAGTTTTTTTCTTTTCTCTTTTCAGTCTCTACTACCTCAAACATAGCCCACACCTTATCCACTGTATTCATGTCAACATAAAAGGATATTTACTGAAAGCTTCCTGAAGCTTATGATCTATTTGAGAGGTATTTACTGTCTGCCAGTTATGGGCCTCACAATTAGGAAGTTTATGCTTCAGTTCATGGTTTGTCTTTTTCTCCTGATGTAACAAGAGACTTCAGCTTTGTGGCCTAAGTAATAGTGGGGTGATTTTCTGCCACTTTCCAGGGATCCCAGGACTGTTTGAATCCACTTCCTTGTATGTGAATGTATGGGCCAGTGAGAAAGGAGAGAGAGAAAAATATACTGGTTTTAGGAGAAGACTTTTTTTTCCTTTCTACTGGCTTTTATTGACTACCAACTCTGTGCCACTTACGGTTCCCAGGTGGAAATATGCCCTTTTGTCATTTCTGCATGTTCTGTGTCACTTTCCTCTGGGGAATAGTCCCTCCTAAAGCAATGTGACTCCTGTGAGGCACCACCAGCTGTAATTACCTTCTACACTGCACGAGTGAGTGCTTTACCCACTCTAATGAGTTGGAATTCTTCTTCTCCTAGACCCAATGATGGGTCCCAGATTTACTCCAAAACCCAAACAAGGTCAATCAGTGCCATTTGGGTGATCAGGTGTGAATATTGGGAGAGAGGGGTTTGTGTTTTTTCTTTTCTTTCTGGAATTACGGTAAGAATGAGGTAAATGAGTGAGATGCAGAGTTTTATAACCAAGTGATAAGAAAGATGACCTGAGAATGAAGCCAAGTGAGGGGAAAAAAAAAAGAACCAAGAAAGTGAAGAAATGTGCGCTGCAGCATTGTTTGAACTTCTGGGTTCAGCTGTCCCTAAAGCTAACAGGGGGCTTTGCAGGTAATGCTAGTAGTAAAGAATCTACCTGCCGATGCAGGAGATACAGGAGACTTGGGTGGGATCCCTGGGTCAGGAAGATCCCCTAGAGGAGGAAACGGTAACCCACTCCAGTATCTTGCCTGAAAAATTCTGTGGAAAGTGGAACCTGGTGGGCTACAGTCCATGGGGTCACAAAGAGCTGGACACGACTGAGCACAAAGACAACGGTAACCCAAGGCCTCAGTTATAAGAGTTAGTCTCTTTGGGGGCAGGCTTAATTAATTCGATTTGGATTTCTGTCACTTGCGGCCCGAGAATTCTTGTCTGATACAGTTTCTGAGCATAACCTGGAAGAAAAAGCCAAAGGGAGCTCTTAGTGGTACAGTGGTGATCAAGGCAGACTTGGCCTCTGCCCTCATGGTGTTCATGGTCCAAGAGGCTGTCATTTCAATGTCTGTATCAGTCAGAGTTCTTAGCTTCAAGCATTAGATTCAAATTCTGGGTCTTTTATGCAGAAATGGAAATTATTAAAAGCTATTTTGTAAACATAGAACCTTTGAGAGGGCCAGATGTTGAGACTGCAGGTGCAGAAATGGTTCTGCTATAGACTTAGGTAGAGATTCCCCAGCCAGTTCCAGACATTGCCCCTTGCCCTGCCAACATCTGACAGGGTGATGCTGGGGACAGGCCACTAATGATACAATATTTGTCACAGATGCCACTGAAAATTGGAGATAGCAGCCACCTCCCTTCCTAGAATAGACTCCATGTGGGGTGTGCCTATGGGTCAAAGCTGGGCATGGGTTTGTCTAACTCATGGGAACTGGGTCACATGCCTGTACCCTAGCAGCAAGGGATGTGACTATCTGGTTTCTATAATAACTTCTACCTTGCACTAAGCCTCGTAAGATGAGGACTTCTTTGGACAAAGGGTGAGAGTCCAGAGATGTTGGGCAGCCAGGTGGATGACAAATATCCACAGTGTTTACCATAAGGTTAAGTTTGAACATATAGCGTCTTTGGCCCCAAGAACTTGGTGTATACTTTAGAGGAAGACTAAGATTTGACAAATTTTGCAAAATAGGTTCATATGGCATATTTCCTCAAAAAGCCAAGCAATGAATGCTGCTTCTCTTTTGTTTGCAAGTTATCTTTTAGTAGAATAACAACAATAATAATGATGATGGTGATGATGTTACCAAATCAACTTCTAGTTTAGGATAAGGTAACAATTTCATTTTTTCTGAAAACTGCCCCAGGTGTTAGCTTTATCATTAGCTATATTGATGATCGAGCAAAATTAGAGACTGCAGCTTGGCCCTTAGATCATATGGAGCTTTTTTGCTCCTTCTCTTCAGGTGAACATGAAGCGGTGATGACATAGCCTCCCCCACACAAGATGCCTCACCTGGGACCAAGGGAAGAACCTGAGGCTCCTGTGGATGGATGTTGAGCAAGAGAGTGACCCAAAGTCTCCTTGATGACCTTGCTCTGTGCCCTTCTTCTGGTCTCACCAGCTGATTGCTCTGTCCCATAGGAGAGAGGGGTGAAGAGAAGGGTAAAATATTCCTGATATTCCCTCTGTTAAGTAGGAAAGGAATTCCCTCCCCTTTGTCAAAGCAGGAAGAATAAACACTCTCCTAGTATTGCCATTAGCTGGGGTCTTCCTCTGTGTCAGACACATTACCGAGCACTTTACAAAAATAATCTCATTGAATTTTCACAAAAATCCTATGAAGTAACATGAGAGCTAACATTTAGTGTTTATACTAGAAAATTTTCTAAGCCCTTGGCATCTTTTAATCAATTCATCCCTTACCAGCTTTAGGCAGGGTCGTGGCATGAAACAGGATAACCTGATATTTTAATTAAAGGACAATTTCTGAAGTCCCCAGGGGTAGTGAGGTCGGTGTGATGAAGGGGGCAGGTGCTGGACTCTGGAAGGACAGGAGCTGTCATCAAGGGAAGCGGCAGCCAGAGGGTCCACTGGGAAAGTTGGTCTCCGGCCGGCCGTCTGTCAACCTCCGCTCAGCTGCCTAATGATGGCTTCCTCCGTGAGAAAGGGCCCGCGCTGTGTGGGATTATCTTTCCCTGCTTCAGGCACAGTGGGCGCTCTTGTTCTAAAGCATGTGTGTGGCATGGCACCAGGCCAGCAGCAGTGCTGGACCTGTCCTCCACGGGAGGGAACAGGTTCCTTCTATGGTGGCATAGAGGAGTCCACATAGGCCAGTTGCCCTTTACCCACCACCGAGAGGCCTGACCACCTGGGGGACCCACATCCACTGTGGGAAGCTGACCTTGCCCCATCTCTTCTCTGTGAAAGTGAAGCTTTGCTCCTTCCAGCATTTGACTGCGCTGTATTCTTGATGACTCTGATAAGATGCGGTGGGGGCAGAAGTGTCTAGAGCCTTCCCCTGGGACTGGCGACCTGGGCACCATCCTGCTCCACAGTGACCCTGAAGGGACGGAGCTTGGCACTGACCGCGTCACTCTTCTCCTTCCTCTGATCTGCCAGTGGCTGCCCCCCCCACCCCGCCCTCAGCCAGACTTCAATGGGAGCCACAGAGCAAGGACATCCTCTGATGTGATGGACACCTTCTAAGGGCTCAGCGCACATGGCCAAAGGTGGGGCGTGCTTCTGGACGGACAGATGGTAGATCCTCAGCACAGGCGTGTGCAATCACTGCCTCCATTTCCTGGACGAGGAAGACAAAGTCAGAGAGGTTAGATAGACGATGAGCCCACAATTACATCCATGAGAAGTGACAAAGACAGACAGCAACTCCTCCTTCTCACTGTGAAGCTTGTGCTCATCACTGTCACTCTGGCCCTGGGGCTTGTGGTTGTAGCTTTACTGCCTCTGAAAAGAGAGCCACAGGTTGTGTGTCAGGCAAGACATGGGGATTGACCCTGATTGGGTTTCTACTTTGTAAATTAGGCAATTTACTCACAACAGGCCTATTGGTACTGGTATTGCTGATTTCTTTCTCTGTGTGAAGAATCCAAGCCTCAGAGAGCTTAAGAAACTTGCTTGACATTTCCCCTGAAATCAGGAACAAGACAAGGGTGCCCACTCTCACCACTACTATTCAACATAGTTTTGGAAGTGTTGGCCACAGCAATCAGGGCAGAAAAAGAAGTAAAAGGAATCCAGATAGGAAAAGAAGAAGTGAAACTCT